AAATGATATTTTTTACTTTTTATTACGAAAGTAATATTATGATAGCATTAATAACAATAACGATAATAAAACAATAATTAACTAACAAGAATATAATAATAACTATTATATAACAAGAATTACGATAAATAACAATTTATGCAGCGATAGCAATAATTAATACTGTAACGATAATTAAATAATGTTCATATAGCGATGGTGTAACAATTAAATTGATTAAATTGATCTTTGTTCGTGTAACATGAAAAATCTGATCATAGTAAAATTATTAATACTGCTGACATAATTTTGATTTACTAGTTGAGTTACCACCCTAGTACATACGTACGTACGTAACACATTGAAGATAACTAAATATCAGATATGCTATTCTCAATAGCTTCATGTACGCATTGAATAATTGCTATTAAGTACATATTATTCTAGGCATGAGAATTCTAGATCCCTCATTTTATTGAGATTGATATTTTTATTCAATGGGCGCTACAGTTTATGCATTATTCTTATGCAAATCGATAATCAGCTTTTGTTAATATAGTTTCGTATTTCTATTTTAATATACAATAATAGAGTTTACGTACGTACATACGTACGTACGTACGTAACACATTGAAGATAACTAAATATCAGATATGCTATTCTCAATAGCTTCGTGTACGCATTGAATAATTGCTATTAAGTACATATTATTCTAGGCATGAGAATTCTAGATCCTTCATGTTATTGAGATTGATATTTTTATTCAATGGGCGCTACAGTTTATGCATTATTCTTATACAAAAAATTGAAGTTTTTAAATTTCTTGCACTGTACGTACGCCGCAAGAAATCTAAAAACCACAATTACACATATAGAGACAAAAAATATAAATATTGAAATTAAATATCGTATTCCCTAAATTTATTGAGTTAGATAATGTGTAACTTGATTATAATAAGTTACATTACAGATAACACCAAACAGATATTCAAATGGCAATATTTCTTAAATTATCGACTTCAATAAGTAAGATTTCTTGCACCGATGCAAAAAAATCTAAAGACCACAATTACACTTATTAATTGATTATATTTATTATATTTCTATAGAAGTAATATAACGTATAGTCAATGCAACACGTTAAATTTCTTAGATTATCAATTTCACATGCTTTATTGATGTTAATAATGATAATGCCATCGAAAATAATTCCAGGAATGAAGTATAAGTTGCCGATCATCATTGTGATTGTATCTTCTAAAATTATCTTTAGGTAATGCAGGCACTTTTCGATTTTGGAAAATCATTGTATTTTACCTAGTATGACTGTGTTACGGAAAATGTTATTGATAAACTTAAAATTTCAAGAAAATTTACCGGATTACAGATTAAGGGACGCTTATTTTTCGTAATCAATGCAAAACAAATAAGCAATGCAACATGTATTGCATAATAAAGTTATGTTACTTTATTAAATGGTTTAAAAAATATTTTATATTAAAAGACTGTTCGTAAAAAATGGTTGTAAAATAATTTTTAAATTTCAAATAAGATAAAAATGAGTCACTCAAAAAACGAAAAAGACCAAGTATGTATCCAATCAGAGGAAACAGAAGATAAGCCTAAAGCTGAGGAGGGAAAAAAAGATCAGCCTAAAGCTGAGGAGGGAAAAAAAGATCAGCCTAAAGCTGAGGAGGGAAAAAAAGATCAGCCTAAAGCTGAGGAGGAAAAAAAAGACGAAGAAAATATTCTTTTGAGAGAAAATGAATTTTTACGAAATAAAATATGTGAAGATTTTAAAAAATGGAAAAAATTAAACTATAATGCCACCAAACAATCAATTATTTCTACCGTTACATGTATATTTTTCTGTGCAATTGGTGTTTTTCTTTATATCACTGAAAACAATCAACTTGGAATAAAAATTAAAAATATAGTTTCTACTAGCGTTATTGGAACAGGAGGCACACTTACCCTTTTTGGAAGTTTAGCAAGTCTTAAAGCTCTTTTCAAGGAAATTAGTGACCATAAGAAAGATTTTGATAGCTTAGTGAATTATTTTCGTAGATCTCCTGATGACGATAAAATAGAAATTAGTTCTTTTGCTAAGGGTGTTGATCTCGAAGTACATGCAAAACAGCAAAAATTAATATCACGCTTCTTAATTAAAATTAACAGGCATATGCAATATATGCTACTTTGTCGTACTATATATATTATTATTGCATCAATAATTTTTATTATTTTAGCATTGTTATCAATTTTTTTCTTAGTTTTTACACTCGATGAATTTATATTTAAAATTATAAATATCACACTCATAGCTCTTTCAACTTATTTTTTGAGTATAGCTATTTCAAATTTAATTTGCATTCAATTATTGATTCCTAGAATGTTAGAAGTTGAAGAAACAATGGTGTCAGAAGGAGAAGATGCTGTAATGAAAACAATAAATGAATCTGCGTCAAAAAATGATCAGAAAAAAAATGATCTGGCAGATTTTGTAGGTTCTGTGATAAATTCTGTGAACGATTATGTGAACAATTCTTCGAATGTAGAGTTACAAACAGAAAATTCAGTGATTCATAAAAAACTTAAAAAGGTTTGGAAAAAGATGAATGATGAAAAGAATAATATTATTGAAGATTTAAGGACCATAAACGAAAAGAACAACAAGGAAATGAAAATCATCGATCGTTTTTACGAGTTTTATTATAATACTCATAAAGTAAAACTTTTTTATGCTGATAAAGCTAATATATTGGATTTTTTTCAATGTTTATTTCGTGAAATACGAAATAAATGGAATCAAGATAAAGTCAAAGATGGAAGTTGGTTTGAAAAATTAAAAATTTTCGTTACAAAAATATCAGCGATTCCTAAATTTTTAGAATTTTTATTCTTTTTTATACTCCACTTTAATTTTTATTTTTTGGGATTAATGTCAGTTAATTTTAAATTTAAAAAAATTGGTATAACAACCCAACAAATGGAAGGAATCAATCGCATAATTTTTGGCCTACCAGTGTATGAAAGAAATATGAGAAAAACAGATATTGAAACCGATCAATAATTATCGACCTTTTTTTTATTTGAACATTCACCAAGAATCAATCACGAAGTCAAAGAGTTACCGATGTTGACTAAGCTCAGAAACTTAATCGAGAGAATTGTTTTAATAGTGTTGTACACTGGATAGTTAAAACAAAGCTAGGATGGACGGATTTGGGACAAATTTGAGGGTTTAAAAAATATAATAACTCAAAATTTTATTAAGATAGCCTTCTTTCATTTGGGTTAAATTTAAGTTTGCATATATTTTTAAAATTGAGAAATTAATGGGACAGGGCCAAAAAGCTTGAGACAATCAAAATTTACAACAATGGTTTCATTTGTTCCAGAATTTATGAAACCAGATCTAATTTAAATTATTTCTAAATTATTAGATTCTTGTTCATCTAAATTTTCTTGAAAAGATATTTCACTTTTTAATTCAGGTTTATAGCTACAATTCAGGTTTTTTTTTTAACATTCGAATTAGTTAAATTATATAGTATTATAAATACATTGTGATTATGTTTACCACTAGTTTCAATAAATATTTTACGTATTATCCTTCTTTATATAAAATAAAAAAATATATCTTTGAGATTTTGAAATTTTTTTTTCGGCGGGTGATGTGTACCTTATGACTGCCAAAATACGTATAAAAGCGAATTCTTAAAAACAGGGAAGATAATTTTCCTGATATCATTAATAAATTGAAACCAAATTTTTCAGATCAATATTACATTCTTAAATGGAAAAAAAATCAAAAGAATTTGATGATATTAAGAAAAATATTGAACAGACCGAATTCCTAAACCTTTATAACAAAATTGAAGAAAAATATTGTTTAAGGTAATCTTTAAATAAAAATTTTATTTCTTGCATTTTGTAAATCATCAAAATCTTGACAGTAATAGGTATTTTTTTTAAATCTTTGTACTAGAAAATTCTTTAGAGCAAAATTCATATCGGATGGAATTTGAAACGACTCCATTTTACAGCGCTTTTCAATTTACTATGATCATCAAATTTTGTGGATCACACACTATCGGAAATCTGGAAATTTGGAAATCAGCAATTTGATATCCATAATGCCTTATAAATTAAACTTTACTTAAACTTTGAAAGAAGGTATCTCGACAACCACCAGACAAAATTTAATGAACTCTCATTTATTTAAATTCTGCATATACGTAGTATTTAAATAAAAAAAAGTTCATTAATTTGGCCTGGTGGTTGTTAAGATACCTTCGCTCAAATGTTAAAAAAATTTAACAAAATTTTTCTTAAACTTAGAATGAATATATCTTTACAACAATCAACCCAATTTTGATAAATTTTTTTTTTTTATTTGAATTCTGTATCTTTAGAATTCAAATAAAAAAAGTTCTTCAAATTGGAATGATGTTGTCAGCGCAGCTTCTATTTGACTTGGTTTTTTTAAAAACTTTGGACAAAGATATATTGGTAACCACAGAACCAAATGATGAACTTTCTTTATTGAATTTTATGGATTCATTAAAAAACTTCTATTGAATTTGGTTTAGTAGTTTATGAAATATTTTCACTCAAAGTATGAAAAATTTTGGCGCAACATCTATTTTGATAGATGGTTTGAGTTTTTTTTAAAACTTTGAGCGAAGATATATCTTAACAAATATCAAACCAATACTGAGTGTTTTTTTATTTGAATCTACAGATTTGTAAAATTCAAATAAAAAAATTCATCGAATTTGACTTGGTGGTTGTCGAGATCAAAATTTGAGAAAATTTTATTTAATAGATGTTTAATTTTTAAAAAATTTGAGCGAGATATCTCAACAGCCACCAAGCCAAATTCAATCTTTTTTTTAAAATTCTAATTTTACATGTTCGTAGAATTAGAAATTTGTCACAGCTTCTATATTGAGATTTTTAAACCTTTGAGTGAAGATATCTTGACAATTATCAAGTCAAATTTGATAAACATTTTTTTATTTGGATGTTAAAGGTATATGGTACAAAACAAAAAGAAAAAAATTGACTTGGTGGTTGTCGATGTCTTCATTCAAAGTTTGAGAAATTTTGTTGCAACTTTTATTTGAGAATTTTTTAAAATTTTGAAAGGGATATATCAGCAACCACCAAGCCAAATTCGATAATTTTTTATTTATTTGAATTCTACAGATTCGTAGAATTTATATAAAAGAAAGTTCATCGAATTTGACTTGGCGGTTGTCAAGATATCTTCGTTCAAAGTTTGAAAAAAAATCAATAAAAAAGACGAGATTTCCCGTATTATTTAACTGCAAAAACAACCAACTCTTGTATATTTCTTGATAAAAAATATTGAAAAAGCGAAAATAATGGAGGAATTTAGGGAATTTTTATTTGCTGGCAAGAGATTTAGATTTATTTGCAAAAAAGCCTTAAATTTAGAGAATTTTGAAGATTTCCGTGTGATGGTCAATCGTGTGATGGTCAATCATTTGATGATCACAGTAAATTGAAAAGCGCTGTAAAATTTATGAGCTATTGATTGAAAAATATGATTTGCATAAGTTAGAAGAAAATTATGAATCCTTTGTTCCTACCCAAAATTCTCTACTTCTTTTTTTAATGAACATTTGAGTAGTTCTCTTTTTCTTTAAACCCAAAAATACATAAACTAAGGTAGCGTTAAATAAAAGTAGTTTGATTATTAAAGGGTGAATGAACTTTAAAATTTTGTTTTAATTTCAGTAAAATATCAATTATTGGAGAAAAATACTTGGTTATGCTACAGAACATCTTGACTAATCAATTGGAAATTTATTTTGAAGAAAAAATCTATGATACGAAATTCCATTGAATCAGATTCTCAAAAGACGATCAAAATATTTAATTTTTCCAAAAATCCACTTATTAAGATTAGTGAATCAAAGGGATTGATAGGATTATACGATTTAATAAAAGGGATTGTGAGTTACATTTACATTTATTTTATTTTATTTTTGCAAGTTTTTCTTACATTTCTTGTTCATAATTGTTTAGTTAAATGTTTATGAACTCCGTGAAAATCAAACTACTCTTTATTCACTTGCAATAAATTTCCGTCTCTCTAAATGGTATAATAATGAAATCCTAAATATTGTAGTGTCAAAGAGTTAAGTAATCGCCGTAACGACTACTATCCAACCCAGACTGTTTGAAATATTATGGTCTCACTTAGCATAAGAGACACACACACCTTCTTAATGATGCTCACCACACTACTATGTACGTAAATATTTACATTGAACTATCCGTTTATTACTTAATTTTCTCCAGTCGAAAAGACTGTTGAATTCTTTATTTACATTTCGCTATTTTAAGCAATTCCAACAATTACATACTTTGTATTACAGTTTAACTATTTCTTTGTATTAATTATCGGGTATCCGTTTGCTGTATTAAATTTAGTACAATGTACTAAATTTAGTACAGTATTAAAAGTTAAATTTTGAAAAGAAATATGTTTAAAATAACTGGTGGTGATCATCACTACCCCTAATTATTTTTAGGGTTAGGGTTAGAATATTAAGAATAATTTTTTTTTATATAAAATAATATAGAGCTACTATAAGGGCCCAATAGGGCCCGATCTCAGTTCTTGTGAGGTTTTTGGGGGACCTGAACATTTTTACTTAGAGTACCCGATCCAGTTTACATAGTACATTTTTAAGATATAATGCCTTACGATTCTTGATTGGTCACACCCTAGTGGAATTAGCTATAATATAACTATTTATATATATAGTTAAGTTATATATATATCTATTATATATTATGTTATACAGGCTACATGTAGCTGTGGCTACATGTAAATTTTCTCAATAAATTTTGTTAAATTTTTAATAAGGTTGTGGAGATAATTTTTCTGATTCTAATGATAGTAAAATCATTAAAATTGGTTTAGTATATAAGAAGTTATAAGTAATTTAAATTTACAAATTTTTTACTATGTTTTTACTATGTTTTACTATATAAAATATATAAAAGATTGACCATTTTTAGATGTGCATCACTGTAAAACAGGTTTATTTAAGCTATTTAAAAAATTTAATATTTATTTTTTTTAACTATATCAAAATCAAAATTGGATTTCAAATATTCTAAAAATTTATTTTTTTTAAATTTTATTACAAGTTTTTGTATACTATAATTTTTTTACCACTGTACTAAATTTAGTACAGCAGAATTTAAAAACAATACAGCAAATTTAAAAGTAAGCTATAAAAAATTTTTATTAATAAATATTACTAAAATTGTACAAAAAGATAGTTCTAATATTCAAATATATTTTGGCAAAATTTGATTA